TAATCAAGATTAGCGTCAGCTGGGAAAAAATTGATGTAATATACATTAATAGGTAGTGAGTGCAACGGCAGAGCGGCGCACAGTAGCACTTCCCGCTAATTACAGTCTTCTTAATTCTGCCTTTGAATGGGCGGAAGTTGAGGTCCGAAACGCGGAGCACAAAAAGAAACGAGAATTCGACTGCACAAAAGCCACAACGTGAAAAGAATTGGGTGAAAAGAATATTATATTATACGTTGAGCGTCAATTTGGGGCTTTTCTTTCGTTGTAATTATGTGTCTCTGCATGCTTTCGTGTCCGTAAAAGCGAAAGGAATGGATCGTGTTTTTTTTTGTGCGTTTGATCCCAGAGGGTTGCCAGCGTGAAGGCAGATGTTTTTCTATTGTATATAATATAAGGTTTAAAATTATAATTATTGCAATGCCTGCGAGGAAAACTTATCATAAAAATCAAAGGATTTGTTTAATTTTTATTAATTTTATTAAAAATCTTTTTTTTTAGTCAATATTTTTTTAAGCATTAATTTTGAATTTTTATGGTTCAATTCCAGCAGAGATATTTGAGCTAATAAAAGAAACTTGAGCAGAAAAGCAAGAGGAAATATTCTCATTTTACCAATTTGAAAAAAAAAAGGATACAAAACGCTTCTGGCTCTGCAGATGTAAATGTAAATCAATCCGAGGCGAACAGCTCATTTTTTCGATGCGGTTGCAAGTAATCTCTACGGCCTAATTGAAAATGAGCCACACCGTCGGGAAATGGAAATTTCAAACACACATGAATGTTTTTTTTTTTAAGACAAATCAATATTACGATTGGAATCGACGCGTTCAAATAAGCTTTGCTCGCGTCTCTGTTTCATTAATTAGGTGTAGTGAAAAGCAGCAACGACAAAGCCAACCGATTGGAAAGCAATGGCGTCGCATTATTTAAGCTCAATTGGTCGGCCGCGTCTGCCGATCAACGCGCAAAAAGCGGTATGGCGTCACTTTTTTAGTCTATGGTCAAAATTAAATTTTTAACTCAATTCATCAATTCCAATAAAAAAATAAATATAACAATCAAATAAATTAAATGAGAAAAAATTAAATTACTTTGCTTGATTTTTTTAGAGGCGGTAAAATTAAACCAGTTAAAAATTATAGATCAATTTGTGCACTGAAATTTTGGATTTCGCATTGAACTTCTTTAAAACTTAAAAATTCGTTGTTTATAATTAACAAATTATGTATTTTAAAGCAACTTTATCTAATATCTTGGCACAAATTGTTTAACCATTAATTTTTAAGAATTATTTATTTAAGACATTTCTTTTGTAAAAATTGTTGGAGAAATTCAGAACTAAAAATTTTCACTTCCACCATTTGTTAAGTTTTAAAAACTTTCATAGCACAAAAAAGTCGGTGTAAATGATTTTGAGACATTCGGAAATTTAATTTCAGCCTTTCTTAATATTCTGAGAAGCACTCACCTCTTTTTCCAGTGACCCATAAAAGCATGCCAAGTGTCAAACGCAGGCCGAGGCAAAGCCAAGCCAAGAGCAACGCGCGCTCGAGATAACCGAACTTTTTCCGCAGCTGTTGCAGACTAGTTTGATTCAAACTTGCACATTCGCTTTTTTACCCTAAACAATCCCTCCACTTTTTAAACGCGCACCCTTCACCCCTTTGCGTCGCGGAAAGGGGGTTGATGTTGTTGACTGGGTTGGGTGAGAGCGAGCGAGCGTCGAGCGGCGGGGCTTTTGTGCACATAATGTATACCATCGAAATCGCTGCTGTGCGATTTATTCAGGTCTTTCAACTCTCAAGAGCGGCATTAAAAAATGACAAAAAATTCGAGAAAATTTTCTACTTCATCTGCTGCTTTTCTCCCACCGAGTTGCAACACAAAAGGGGCGCATCCCTCTCTCTCGCTTTGAGGCCAGCAACTTGCACGGCCTGATGCAGACGCTCTGTAATTATGCTGACGAGGTGCTAGGTACACACGCTCTCCGTACATTATAATTCACAAAGAGCACTTTACTTTGCTCAGCTCACTCACACACACGTACTCGCTCTTTGGATATACATACGTCGCTCTGGCTTTGCGACGTTCTCTACTCACTCGCCAATGCATATCATCACCTGAATACACAAACTAGAGTCCGCAAGATATAAAATTAAAATGAACTAAACAAAACAAAAACAAATTCACAATTTATCAATTTGGGAAAAAAATTATGCCAAAATTTTTATTCTGTAAAAAACTTAACGCCATTAAAGAAATAAGAAATGATCCTTTTTGTAAAACTTTTTTGTGTACAAATACAAAAAAAAATTGAAGTTCATCAAAAAAATAATAAAATTTAGGAAATTTATTAAGAATAAGATATCATTGTAATTTTTTTATCAATATTATAAAATATTCTGTTATTACAATGGAAATAATTTGTGCATAAGTAAAAAAAATATGAAATGCTTTCTCACATTTTACAATTATTAAAATAGGAAATTGTTTTTCACCCTCCATTGATCACCCTCAGCTGGCTTTATGTTTCAAACATTGATTTTTACTATTATATATTTAAACCTCCCACAGTACACTGCCATATTTAATACTCTTATTAAAGGTCGGATGCGCACGTCAGCCAGAATTATGGTTTGCGAATTTAGCATCACAAGCCAAATCCCTAATTCACATGGTCCACGTGGGAGTACTAACACTTTTTAGGATTTTCAGCACTCTCTGTTCATCGACTCCTGCGTGGTTCTGTGGCTACACACAAACCAAATCAAATTCAAACTAAAACCAACCGGCTGACTTGCTCTACCTAAATTGACAACATAAAAATTGATGAATTGTTATTTTACTTACAAAAATGAATAAATGCAAAAAGCTAAGATAATAATTTTGAAAATCAATTTTTTGACCAGATTTCTAAATAAACAGGAGGATAGAAATTAGAATTTTTAAAAGACCCAAAAAAAGGTTGTTATTAAAAAAAATTATTTATGTTTAAGAAAACTTTCAGACAACGTGTGTCCTATCAGTAAAGCCAGCTTGAGTTATTCAGACAAATAATTAATAAACTTTATTATATTAATTTTGAATTTATTTTTTATTAATTACTTCCAAGCAGCAGATTTAAACTATTACAAAAAAGTATTTATATACGAAAGGTATGAAAGATGTAAATTCCTCCAAAATTTTGGAAAATCTTTCTTTAAAATATTTTTTTTTTTTTTCACTGGATTGGGATTTTACTCGTTTGCTATTTCTTTTGATAAAAAAATCTCTACGGGCAACCAGATCTCTGGTACTGCCGAGGCCAAATTTCTGAACGCGTTGTTTTTTCCACTTAACACGATCAAAACGCCAGAGCAGAGAACGCACACTCGGTGCTGCTAACAGAGATAGTGCTCCGAAAAGTGTGACACGCCACTGCGAGAGTTCAAAAGTGCGGCAATCTGTATAAATCACACCTCGAGGGCTGTCAGCAACAAAGCCGTGAGAATTTCGATCGCGCAATTTCCGCCGCAAACACAGCGAAAGGGCGAAACAGAGCGAGCAGCACATTTTTTTTTTCATCCGCACAGATCTGGAGCGAATTCGGCGCGCTCATGATGTTTCATCTGAAAAAGCGGCCGCCTGCTGGATGGGTGAAACCCCCTTTTGTTGTTGCCGTTCTTAAAAAAAAGGGAAAAAAATGCTCACTCGGTCGCGATCGCGAGTCCCCCTTTTTGCAGCGAGTGCTGCTTGTGATGGGAAATCAATGAGTCTCGCTGATTTTTGTTATTTCAATGTGGGGCGCATTTTTATTTTCCATCCTCCACCCGTTCTGCGGGAGAGAATGTGACGATGACGATAATGCCTGCCAGCAGCCGCCATCGATCTGCTTTATCAAATTTTGTTATACCGCACGCGCGTTGCAAACGAAATGATGCGAGCAAAAAGAAAAAAAAAAGCATGAGTTGAGCGAAATACAAGCACCGATGAAGCATTTTTAATAACATTTCAACGAAAACATAAAAAAAAAAACAAGATAAAAAGATTTAAATTCCGTTGCAAATAAAAAAAGTATTTAAATCGAAACACAAAAATATTTTTTTAAGGGAATTTTTAAATGAATACTGTTCTAGTTATTACCAAAATTAAAATTGAAACATTTAAAATGGGATCCTGTTTTTTTTTTAGTTAGATATGTAAAAAAAATTCAAATTTCAATGTCAACCATAAAAATCTAAATATAAAAATTCGCACCCCTAAACTTAGAACCAGGGGCTCATCAGAGTCTCATCTTTTTAATAGCCAAACAAATTTGTATTACAAAGGAAGTTGTTCATGATTGCAAAATATTTGAATTATAGGTTAAAACGGCCAATATTTATATTCTGGGTACTATACTAATATGGACTAATCACTACAAGCTTCTAATTTTTAGCGCGAAAACGTGATACTTGGTTAAAATTATGAAGAGATCAAATGTTTCAATCACCAGGATTGACTTTGGTGATGAAATTTGGAATTCTATCAAATTCATAGGAATAAAAAAAATGACCGTTGTTCCCTCTTTAAAAAAAGTTATTTTCCTCAAATATACTCTTGATGTTTATTGAAAAGACTAAACAATTGCAAAAATATATTTTAAACTTACAGATCAATAGTAAATTCAATAAAGTTGGTGTAAATATAATAAACGATTTTAAAATAATTTTACTTTAAATTCTCTTTCAGCAAATATCTGAATAATAAATATATAAAAATTTCACTGGTGTTGTCCTGTTTGAAGTTTGTCTTTTGGTTTGCGTTGAGTGTAGCTTTTGGTCGGAAACGCCTAATATTTGCTGTAGTGGGTCAACTATTGGGTGAAACGCATCGCTCCTTATCTATCTATACAGATGAGCTTATACAATAAACACGGCGTGTGTGTACTTAAAAGGCGTCTATATAGGCAGCTAGCGATAATTCAGACCCTATGGGCAGTCGATAGGGCCGAATTCAGTCGAGCGGCAGAGCAGAAAGGTGACGCTTCACAATCAAGTGCAACGATTTAGAAATAAAAAATAGGAAAGGTATGTCAGAACCTTCAGTGCGTAAACACTCCATCAAAAACTTTTGGTCTCATTAATTATAATACTTTACCGGAGAACGTCCATCTTACGTTAGTCATCAGAAAAAAACAATGCACTGCAGGCATAAGGATTGGAACATTTCAAATTGCTACAGTTTAAGTATTTGAACCAGAAATGCTCAGAAAAACTGCAGATGGTGAGTTGAAAATAAAAAATTTTCAATCAAAAATAAAAGATTTAATGAATTTTTCATTTTTCAGTAGAGTGCCAATACATGATTGAGGGTGACAAAATGCCAGACAAAAAGCCACCCCTCCTGATTTACTACCTCATTTTAATCATCCTCGTCACAGCATTGCTGTTGCTTAGTCTACCTTATGAAATAATAACAATTCCAATTGAAATTTCTAAAGAAGAGGAATTCGAATCCTGCGATCAAATGCTCTTTGCTGCAAAAATGATCAACCTTTCGGACGCATTGGAAATTTTGAGCGAGAGAAATGAGAGCCGGCGTTCCTATTTCATGATTGAATCTTCCCACACCGGAATGGTGGGCTCAAGACAAGCGTGCGCCGTCGAGTCGGTGGCCAAGAACAACCCGGACGCGGACGTTTATCTGCTCGTTGTCCGTCCGCCTCGAGAGATGAGCGCGGTGACCAACGAGCAGCTGCACATGGTCATGCGCCACTATCAAAACGTTCGAGTGCTCTCTTTGGACTTGGACGCTTTTTTGAAAGGGTCTTTTCTGGAGCGATGGTACCAGTCAGAAAAATATGAACCCTTTCAATTTTGGGAAGATCTTTTGGGTTTGTTGAGTGTCTTTAAATACGGTGGGACCTATTTAGATCTAGATATTGTGATTGCAAAAGATCTCAGTGAACTTGGTGAAAACTTTTTAAGCAAATCTACTAACAAATCTTTAGTAGTGTTTAGTTCTTCTAAAAGAAACTCAATAATTGAGACTATTATTACTTCAATGGTGAAAGAAAAATATTTTGTTTGGAAATCGAATTTCAGTGAATTTAATATCTTGCCAGATGATTTCTTCTACCCTTTAAAAAATTCAGGGAAAATAATTGAAGATTTACCAAGTGGAATTTACGGCTTTTATGTGCACGACATCAAGGATCAAATTGTTATTGTTGGTTCTGATCAAATAATGAGCAAAATTGCAAAAATACATTGTCCTAGAGCTTACTGGAGTTCATACAGAACGTTTTGAATTTAATTATTTGTAGACGTTAATTGAAGTATTTAATCATAGCGCGCAATGAACGAGAGAATATATATTTTGTATAAAAAAAAATTAATTTTTCGACAATAAAATTTATCGCTTTCACTTTCATACATAAACCTGTTTTTTATTTCAAAATACCACAAGATTTAGTCATTTTTAGAGAATTAGCAAAATTATTAATTTTAAATTAAATTCACTGCAAAAGTTTGTAACGAGTGTGTTTTGCAAGTGGTTGTGATGAACAAAATTTATTAAAAAGGCCCACAAAGAGAGAAATAATCAACTCCCACGTTTAAAAAAAGTTTGTTAAACGATTAAAAAGCATTGGTTTGTTGAAAAAAAAGATAAGGCTTCCAAGGCAAGCACTGTCCCCCTTCATTCCTTTGCTTGATTTGTGTGCGAAAGCAGGTGAGTTCATGTTTGTCTTTGTTACAAAAGAGCGTTTCAAATTTATTTTGATTTTATGTATCAATTTTTGCAATGATTCAAATTGATTTTTTTCCTCTTAATTAATACATTTATGTTTGATTTTTTTTTCTTAATTTTTTAGAGAAACTTTGCCCAGCAGAAATAGAATCTGGACGAATGATGGAATTGTTTAAATACAAAATGAACTTCGCATTCAGCTCACAAGCAGAAGTCATAGTTTTCATTTTATTAATCCTGGCGATCTTTTCGTACATGACTTTGTATTTCATCTATATTGGCGACTTTTCGTATTTGATGACTGACCCGCTAGGGCTCTCTTGGGTTTCAGATTCTTTACCCAACATACATTTGAAATGACTCCACAGAAAATTTATTTTATATGAACATGCATAGATTAGGAAGAAAAATTCAATCAGAGTCCAGTTTTGTAATTAAAATTAATTTGAATAGCTGGTTTGCCCTATAAAATTGAAGCCTAATATTCGTCATTTTTTTTGGTGGGGGTGGGGGTACTTACGTTCACCGACCATCTTACAAAAAGGTGTAAACTTTTGGAGATAATGTTAAAATTTGAAATTAAAATTTTTATTCTTTATCGATAAGAAAATTTGTATTTCCTGATACTCTGATCAATTTCCATAAAAAAATTTCATAAATCATGTGTGTTGCTTGTAATATATTTTTTTTAGTATTGTATTTGTGCATAACGCGTTCAATAAAAAAAAACTGCAGAAAATGCTTTTTATACCTCATTTCATCCAATCTAATTTGTATAGCAACTCTTAAAACAAACCGTTTTTACGGCCGGTTATGCTGCCGGAAAAATTGACCAGTTTCCCATGGTCTGATTTGAATAATATAGTACCTATAACACAGGACGCGTCGATTGCAAACTGGCTGCAGAGGAATTTTTCACGCTCGTTTATTTTTAAAAATCCGCCGATGTAATAAATGATTGTGCGCAGAGCTTGTCGCAAAAAATGACCCATGCGGAAACCTGATTTCGCAGCGCAGAGCTCGTCTCTCTGCACTCGCTCAATGCTCATTTATTTATATTTTACTCTTTTTGCAAATTGTGTATTGGCAGTTTGTGCTTGCAGGGTCTCTATATGCGTCCGTCCGGGGTGAGCTTAGCGGGTCTGCAACTGACAAATCCCACAATTCATTGCACCCGAATCTCATTTATTTGCTAAATGGAGAGAGGAGACGGCTCTCGTTCAGCCACCAATCTCTCTTTCAAACAGTTTAATTTTGTAATTTGAAATGTAAGTCACGTTGATTTATCATTTATGTAGGCATTAAATTAATATATTATATAATATATCATATCCAACTCATGAATCTTTCACAGAAACAATTGAAATTGAAAGTAAATAAAAAATTGTTAAATTTACCTTTGTTAAATGCAGTTAAATGCTAAATATATATTCTGATATTGGTTTTGTCAAATTTTTATATAATATTAATTTGATGACACGTGCAGTTTTATTAATTGAATGAATTAATGTTTAAGTTTTTCTTCTTTATTTCTCGTCATAAATATTAAATTGTATAGCGTATTTTGTTTCTTTTGCTCCAAATAAGTAGGATCTTTTAAAGAAATTAATTTTAATTTATGTTAAATTGCCAAAAAACATTACAATAAATTAAAATATATAAAACCTCTTACCATCAAGCGGTAAAAATGAAACTATGACGGCATAATTCAGAAGCAAGAAAAGGGTTGAAATAATATCATTTATAAGGGGTATCCCTAAAAATATTTCAACAATAGGACTTTTGACTTTTACGAGTTTGCTGTTTACATTGAATTGACTGCATTATTACCACCGATTACCACAGACTGTGATTATTACCATTCCATTTAAGTAGATACTTATAAAGACCGAGTTTCAGGTATGGACGACGGGACATCTCTTGGTGAAATTCAAAATCAAAAGCGAGATACACAATAAATAAGTATATTATAAGAAATAAGATTTGTGTTGAATAAGTCCAACTGATTTCTACGTCATTTTAGTTTTAGCAGTGAAATCTAACTCTTGTAAATAATATATCAATTTTTCTTATATTACATTTTAAATTGAAAAAAATAGAAGAAAATTTTCAATAATTTTCAAGCTAAATTAATATAATTATGAATGGAAAATTTTCTCATAAGTTTAAATTTTATAATTCATTCTAATTATTTTCAATTGGTGCAAAATAGAAAAGCGTGACAGATTGAGTTCTTTGTGAAATATACCGAATGGAATGAACAAAGTTCGTATTATGTACTTACCGAGGTGGATTCGAACACGTTCTGCTCTGCGAAGCGAGCGGCGAGGCGAGAAACTAGCAGCTTCAGGAGGGGGGCGTGGCCGGCAGATTTTTGGTGAACTCGGTGCTGGGTTGGTGTGCAGGGGTTGCAGGCCGAGGTCTTGAGTTGTCGCGTGCCGTGCCGTGAGTGCCGCAGTCATGCGACCCTAAGGCGACGCCCTTTGATCTCGGCGAAACATGCAAGAGGGTTGAGGGAGAAAGCGCAGATTTAGGCCGGGGCAATGCGGCGTCTGCAGAACGTCTGTCTCACCGTGGTGGTGACCGCCCTGGTCGTCTCGTACGCCGCCTGGAGCTCGCTGACCGCCTCCACGGCGTTCAATGTGGCCTCCACCGCCTCCAGGCCGCACGCCGACGACCTCCGCGAGCACTCAACCGTCTGCAGCGTCTCTAAACAGGTGAATTTTGATTCCGTACCTGAACGTGCCAGACAAAAGAAACATGTCCACCTGTAAGGGAAAACCAGGGAGGAAAGGGGAATATTTATCCCTGCGGAGGTGGAAGGGAGGGTTAATGTGCTCAAATTCATGTGGGAGAGGAGGGCAAAGGTTATTTAATTTAAGACTTTAATTTTAATTATACAAACTTTAAAATGGGGTCACTTCTCCTTTAAAAATTTATTTTCAGGGAGAATTAATTTAGAATTTAACTATATAATTGAAATTTTATTTACATTTTTTTCTAGATTAGATTGCATAATATAAATTAATTTAAATTTAATAAAACATTCACAATACATAACAGGCAAGAATTAAAATTAATTTTAAAGTTAAAATATGTAAAAAAAATAAAAAAATAATTAACAGGGAAATACTAATAATCAGTCAATTTGTTCAGCGCTGAGCTATTTTTAGTCTTATTGAGGGAACTTAATTTTATCTCTCCTTATTATTTTTAAAGGCATGCAATTTTTCTTCACCAACCAGATAATTAATTGCTTCCTCATTTATAGGACCAGAGATCATTCATAACCAGCAACAATGACTCGGCACCGACTATTTTCTTCATTACGCCTACATACCCTAGGAGAGAGCAATTTGCCGAGCTCACAAGACTTGGCCAAACTCTGATGCATGTTCCCAATCTACATTGGATTGTGGCCGACGACTATGCAGAGTGCAACCCTCACCTCACCCAAATCTTCCAGAAATTTGGTAAAAAGAATATAATTTTTTGAATCTACAATAAACTGGAATTTGTTTATTTTTTTATTGATTATTAAATTCTAAATAAGTTTATTAAAAAAAATCAAAATAATTAATTTTACTCTTTTTTTTCTTATTCAGGGCTGCCGTTTACGCACATTTCCAGCCCAATGCCCAGCATTTACCGCAAACGACATTTTGTCCCTCGAGGAGTATCGAACAGACGAGCTGCCCTCAAGTGGATCAAGGCCAACGCCAACAGCGGCGTCTTTTACTTTGGGGACGATGACAACACTTTTGATTTAAGACTCTTCTCCGAAATTCGCAACACTAAGATTGTATCCATGTTTCCTGTTGGATTGATTGGCGAATTCGGAGTCAGTGCACCAATCATCGACGATGTAATTTAATTTTTAATTTTTATGATATCTTAAAATCACACTAATTAATAAAAAATAGGGCAAAGTGGTCGGCTTTTTTGATTCGTGGCCTGCAGACAGAAAGTTCCCTGTTGACATGGCAGGTTTTGCAGTCTCTGTCGAGTACCTTCTGCAACACCCGAACGCAACCATGCCTTACAAGGCCGGCCACGAGGAAGACCAGTTTCTCAAGAGTTTAGACCTGAAGATGGATGATATTGAGCCAAAGGCCAATAATTGTACAGAGGTATGAACGAAAAATTGTAATTAACAAAATCTATTTTTGACTAATGAGGCTATTTTTGTGACCTTTCACTATTTTGTGTTTTCCAGTTGCTTGTCTGGCACACGCAAACAGTTAAGAAGGCGAAGCACAACCTGAAGGTCCCCAGCAGCATTTTCTCTAATCTGCATACCTTACTGGAAAAACTAGTTTCCATTGGAGTGGTCCAGATGGGTGGCGAGATTTCTGGTAAGGAGGTTTACATGGTGGTCGACGGACACAAGAACCAGGTCACCAAACGACATGTCGCTGGTCTTTCGTAGTTAATTAAGATACTCCAGGCTGTGATTAACGAGATATTATGTAGAAGGGAAATCTGAACGTTCTTAAAATTTTTATTACAAGCATAACTAAATACGCTTTTAGTTCCATTTTTATTGGAATGACCGACAATTTTTGCAGCTAAAACGAGCCTTGGTTGTGCTTTAGTATTTTTAACTTCATTCTGGCACAAATAAATTTTCATGTACATTTTTAAACTTATTGGAAAGAAATGGAACGGTGGCCAAGGGGTGCTCTTTAGAAGTACAGTACAATTACTATTCAAGATGAGATTAGGGTTAGTGATATTAACATGATATTAAAAACCAATTTGCGTAAGCATAGTGAGAATCGGTGGAGTGCTTAAATTTTTGAAGGAAATTTTAGCTTAACATTGTCGGTTCTATTTAAGCAGAACTGTTGAAAAGATTTAAATAGTCTGTTTGATTAAATTAACACGAGATAGTAATATGATTTGAATATTATTTCTAGCGATAGTATTAACGAAGCTCAGCTCAATCTTCTATATAAGAAAAATGATAGGTCATAATAACTGTAGATGTACCTGGTAGTCTTTATTTATCAACCAACTGTATTTAAATGCCGATCTATATTTAGAGAAATCCACCGCACAAATTAATTATTATAATGGGTACATCCTATGTTACAATCGAAACCAATCAATAATTACTTATGGATATTAACCTTTTGCATAATTCTATTGTTTTTGTTAAAGATTTGAAATTTTTAAAAATTTTAACCATATTAACGGTATCTCTTTTGCTTTTGCTTAAATGTCGATGTAATATCAACAATTCACAATAATTATACCCTGACATTGCCAATTCATTTTGCCAAAGAGGTGTCAAAACCAACTACATTGACGAAAACTGCAAATATTTATAGGAGAATTAAAGGTAAAAGAACTTGACATTAATATTCTATTGAATTTTAGGAATGCAACGATTTTTTGTTTAATCAGCCAAGATTATTTAATAGGGTGAAATTGCTTGCGGCAGTCTGAAATGAATCTCATTTAATCCAAAGCTGCTGTCATGAAACCCAATTTTTTTGCTGAATAGCATCTTGCCAAAACGACTTTTTCTTTATTGCAAAATGATTTGCACAATTTAATTTATTAAAAAACAAAAAATATAAGATCTGTTTTTATTACACAGCAGTATAGCTTTTAGGCAGTAGACGATGCTTAAAAAAAACCTTGTCCACAAAATATGTGATTGAGAAAATTAATTATACTGGTGGAAAAATTTCTTGTAACAAAATCATATTATCGATTATAATTGTGCATAGAACATTCAAAATTCATTACACAATGAAACACGAATTCCAAAATATTTGAACAAGAAAATTTTCATCCAGGGTAACTTCCAAAAAACTTTTTACTGTTAAAAAATATATTTCTCCCCATTTGTAGCCGTGCAATCAATAAATCTCACGAAAAATCCAAAAAATTGCAAATATTTGATTGTTTTCAATAAACCCCTACAACAAATGAAAAACTTATGATTCTTTTTTTATAAAGAGAAGTTTTATTTATTTTTTGTTTTTCTTCTTCTTGGCAGCTGCGGCTTCCAGTCCTCGTAGGTAGCGCAAAGGAATCTTGTATTCCTCTGTGTTAAAACATTTTGATGAAGATAAGAACTGTAAATTAACCAAAAAATTTTACCTTGCAGTAATTTTGCCACAAAGTCCACTTGGTTTCCTTGAACAAGCAATTCTCGGCTCTTCTTTCCAGGCACTTCACTAATACTTGTGCTTGCTGCCACTCCATGTTGGCATTTCCTAGCAAAGTCTTGAATATCAATTCCAAAAAGCTCCAAGTTGTTGATTAGGGTGACCTTTGGAAAGAATTTTTTGTATTCTAAGACGGATTGAAAAATTAAATTACAAATAATCACACCTTTTTGTTCCCTGATCTTGTGCTAACCCGCATGTCAATTGGTTCGAGTTTCACTGGTTTCGGTTGCGTAAGAGGCCCTGTTGCTGTTAGGTGATAAGTCTGGGTCATCCTTGAAAGGCACTTTTGCATCACTTCTTCCCATGTTATATTCACAGTATCTGATCCACCTGCAGCTCCTAACAAAGCGTCATGCAGCGTTGCATTCAAAGTGACAAATCTGCAAAAAAAATAATAATTATATTGTTGAAAGTAATTGCAATATTCAAACCTAGGGTTGTCAGGATTTTGTAAATTATTTTGTTTGACATATTCCGTAACATTATTCCTAACAGTCTGGGCAGTCAGCATGTCACCTTTTCTGAAATTTGTTTATTTAGAATTTTGTTTTTGCTTTCAATAATTTTTTCCTTACTTGCAGTTACAGTTTTTAAAGATTGGAGCAACATTTGCTGTGATTTTGTAGAGCTCCTGAATATGCGGAGATTCCTTTTCCTTCTTCTCTTCCACTTTGGGCTCTTCGAAATCATCTTCGCGCAGGTGAAATTTTTTCAAAGCTTCGTGCTCCAAATTTACCTCAACAATTGACTCAACTCCTTTGACTTGCTCCTTAATCGTGACCAAACCCTCTTGCGTCATGGCTTTGAGGAAAGCTCCCAGTTTTTTGTAAGAAGACTTTTTTACGTCTAGAGTGTACCTGGAGGAAATTTTTAATATATATTTAAATGCGTCTCAATTTCTTACCTCGAAGGGCACGCAGGAATCATATGCACTCGGAAAAAGTTGCTTGTGAGCAAAGGCAGGGGCGTTTTTTTGGCAGAGTTTTTCCACGATTTTAGGAAGCAATAGCGAAGAAGCTCATCCATGAACTCTGGCCCGGCTTGGGCGTCCTCATCTGAAATCTGATTCCGTCAAAAAATATAGACAGCAGCAGAAAAAATATTTACTTTCGTCTCTTCCAATTTTTCCTCTAGAACATTGAGATTTTCAGTCTCTTCAACAGGGTCCTCAATGTTTACTTCCGCACCATTTTCCTCTGCTTTAATCTCATCGGGAACCTCAATCTCATCATTTTCTCCCTCTTTTTCATCAGTCGGAGGCCCCAAGGAAGGTGCAGTCGGTCGAGCTCCTGGCCCAAACCAAAGGTGGTCTCCTTCGACGTGCAAAATAAAAACTCCCTTTCCTTGACTGGGAAATTGCCTCATGTCCTGACTACTTCTGGCCGCCTTTCCAACAGCTATGGCCGCCCTGTTAGAGTTGGTGTTGACGGCCACCGGTTGGCCTAATTGCAAATTTTGGCCAAAGTCGCTTTCCTATTGAAAATAATTCAGTAAAATAATTTATTTTGAGAATTTTTTTTAAATACTTTGTGATTAACAACACCAGCCAACATGAGGTCAGCTCCTTTTCGCAGAAAGTCGATGACCGGGTCCCAAACCGTGAAGTGATACAATAGGCTGGGGTGCTTCCAAAGCAGAAATACAGTCGGATAATGGGCTTTTTCCACCTCGAAGAAGAGGGGCACGGGGGCCGGGTCGGATTCGTTTTGCACGCAGAAGACATTGGCGTAGGTGCTGCTGTGTGTCAGCAATTTCACTGCACTGACGGACGCTTTGCTCGGCAAAAGGGTCTGAAGGTGTTCTTCAGTTAGCTGAGGAAAGCACTTGAGGACATCAGCTTTTAATTTTTTCCTGTAATAATCAAGTTTTTAATAATAGGCAAATATATTTAAAAACAAATTAATCCAAATTGCAATAAAAAAAATAATAAATGGGGTTTTTCAAATTTGCAACTAAAATTTATCCTTACAAAATTTTTAATAATAACAAAAAACCTTTTGAAAAACATAAAATTTATAATTATTTTAAATATATTTTATTTTTTAACAATAATTTTATAAATATATAATGGAAACTACAGTTTATTAAAAAGAAAAAATATTTTTATGAAAAAAATAATCAGCTATTTAAAAAAAATTTATAATTGACTTCGACAGAGATTTTATATTTACAATAGTTTCAAATTTTCAAAACTGTGTACGTCTTGAAAAAAAACCTGGATTATTATTTTACGCAACCCTCGGTTGTATATTCGCCTGCACATTAGACTACCCGCCACGCGCACGGGGACTCGAGCTGAGGACGAGTCGCGGTAGGGGTACCCGCGATCAATATCGGTCAATCGGCCGGAGTCATCGTTGTTTCAGTCGACCCAGCGCATTCCTCCTCGTCCTCAGCTCGCGCCCGAATGGCCGACCTCGCTGGTCCGCGGTCGGCGGCCGAGTGGCCCTCAGGTTCGGCATCAGCCGTCAGGAGCCGCCGGTGAGGCGGGTCATTGAACTCCGGACCGCGGTCCGGACAGATAAGCGCGAAGAAGATAGGACAGAGTTCTCCCCAGAGCCGATCACCTCTCTTTCAACACACCTGTCCGAGCCCTTGAGCGCCGAGTTGGATTTAACTTTGAACGGCTTGAGGAACATCTTGGTCTGCACTGGCCCGACGGTGAGTCCTCAAGACGCAGGGTCTGCACGCCCGAAAGCCGGTGTCCAAAACAAAAACACTGGGTCCGTCAATGAAGGATAGGAATAGGATAGCTCGGTTTCTTTGCCGGTTTTTACCGTTCGCGGTTAACAATCGGTTTTATTTTAGAATAACCTCCCCTTTTGCCAGAAAGCTCGATAATATTTTTTGCAAAAATTTTGTGTAAATATATAAATAATTATGAAAGATAAATGTGGCGCGTAAGTTAATTTTTTTTTATAAACCCCAAAAAGTAAGGTAAACAGATCCCCCGACTCTTTTGATTTTTATCTTATTTTTACTGCTCTCATCTGCATGCATGTCATTGTATGTATTGTAAAATTTTTAACAAAACACATACATACATGTATGACCAATTTATCAGTATTTTTTGTATCTGTACTAGAGAAGAAGATCAATACTGAAAGACAAGATAAAAATGTAAAAATTTCTTTTTTTTGAGGGAGTTCAATTTTATCTTGGTGCTTTTTGACGTAAGTGAAAAAAGCAATTTAGTACAAAAGGCAGGCAAAAATTTTAACTCTCTATTTTCTTGATTTATACAATAATAATTTATAAATAATGTCTATCATTTATCCAGAAAGACGAGGAAGTAAGGAAAGGAAAATGGCCCAGTCGAAGAACCCCAAGTGGCAGTTCCGATGGCGCTGTGGCCGCTGGTGGTGGAAGGTCTTCAAGCTGATGCTGAAGATCCCTCTGGCCATCAGCCTTCTGTTGGCCGTGGTGGTCATCTTCAGGGCCATCAACGCCTCCACGCCTGCCTCGACCCTGGAAATTCTGAACAACGCAGTCACTGACGGGGTCGAGGATGGAAAAAAGATGGAACGGGCGCACAGGCTGGCCGGCGCTCTAAGACTGTCCACCATCTCATACGAGCCGGGAAAACAAGAGGTGGAAGAACTTCTGAAGCTCCATAAATACCTTGAAAAAGGTAATTAATTTTTTAATTCTTGATTTATTTACTTACGAATTTTTTTCTTTGATTAGAATTCCCTGCAGTGCACAACTGTTCCTTTGTGAAGAAAGAGGTCATCAATCTCTACAGTCTGCTTTACACCGTCACAGGCACAAATCCTAATAAAATGCCTTATATGCTGGCCTCCCACCTGGACGTGGTGCCAGCCGACCCTGAAAACTGGCAGGTTGACCCTTTCAGTGGCCAAATCATAAACGACACCTACATTTACGGCAGAGGCACAATTGATGACAAGGGTGGAGTTTTGGTAATTTTTTTTTTTATTTTTAAATTTCTTTATAAAATAATGATTTGAATTTTTAAAATTAGGGAATTCTTGAAGCTTTGGAGTTCTTGATTAAAAAAGGTGAGAGACCTCAAAGAAGCTTCTTTGTGGCTTTCGGACACGACGAAGAGGTCAGTGGCAAGCAAGGCGCTCAGGAAATCGCTCGGACCCTTCTGAAGCGGGGCGTCAACAGGCTGGACTTTGTTTTAGATGAAGGATACACGGTCACCAGGCACATTCTACCAGGCACAAGCAAACATGTTGCTTTGTAAGAATTTACTCACTCGAATAAATTATTGAAACTAATAAAATTTTTAATTTGCAGAGTTGGAGTTTCCGAAAAGGGCCATCTTACTCTTGAACTGAGCGTAAATGGAAATCCTGGCCACTCGAGTTTCCCACCTTGGGAGTCGGCTATTGGAATTTTGTCAGATGCCATTACGAAATTGGAAAAGAACAAGCTGCCCTCTCTCTTTGGTACGGGCCCTGAACGTTCTACATTTGAATACCTAGCCCCTCATGTAAGAAAATATATTTATACTCAAATTGTGATTGACTTTTTGTAATTCAGGTTGGTTTTCTGCACCGAATTCTTTACTCAAATATGTGGCTTTTTGCCGGTATCATGTCCAGAGTGATGGAGCGAGAAGCTTTGAGCAACGCTATGGTCAGGACTACTAGCGCTATCACTGTGTTCCATGGAGGCATCAAGGTCAGAAAGAAAAGAATTATCTGAAAAAAAATTATAATAATAATAATAGGAGCACCTAAATAATTAAATTTTGTTTTAACTATTTTTGCCATAAAATTTTAATTTAATAAATTATTAATTACAAACAACTTTACAGGATTATCAAAATTGAAAAAAATTTATATCACACAACAATTTATTTATAATTTGCCTTCCATTGAAATTTAAATTAATGTTACATTTCAGGATAATGTGGTGCCAGCTCATGCCAGGGCAATTATAAACCACCGTGTTCACCCGTCACAAACCATATCTCAGGTCATCGAATTCGACAAACGCACCATCGATGACCCAAGAGTGGAAATCAAAGTCAAGACCTCCAAAGAGGCACACCCTGTGTCTCCTTACAGCCCTGACGACGTGCAGTACAATGTTATTGCACGCAGCATTTATCAGACATTTGATGACGTTGTTGTTATTCCTGGTAATTTTTGTGTAATTTTTTTTATTTGCTTCTAATTTTGTCTCATTCAAGGTGTGCTGATTGCCAACACAGATACTAGGTGGTATTTGGGCCTTTCGAGTCACCTGTATAGATTTTTCCCCACTGTAATTTATCCCGAGGACACCAACAGGTATCACGGAATTGACGAACGAATTTCGATTGACGACTATCAGCGAGCAGTCAGTTTTTACTACAGGGTGATGAAAAACGCCGACCTCATTATCGGCCACGTCCCCTCTACCACTGCCAACCAGCAAAGGGAGCTGTGAAGCTGAATTGTTTTTTGTTCCTTTACTTAGTTTTGAATTTTCGATTTTACCGGACTTTAGAAAGTTGTTGGAGGTTTTTAAGGTTGCATGTGGTAAGATTATTTAAAAGTAACTTTAGTTGCGAACCAGAGTAAAGTGTGACTAAAAAAATTGTTTGGATCGCACCCATTAGCAGAAATGAAAAGCTCACTTTAGAAAAATAACACAAACGATTTACGAAGCCTTTTTAGTGTGTAATAATTTTAATCACAACCTGTTACCTTGTATTTGTCTCACTTGTGTATGTTACTTAATGTTGAGCTTTGGAAAACACGAAAAGTGATATAAAAATGGAAGTGTCGAGGGGATCGGGTTTTATATAAAAAGAGGAATAAGAAATTTAAACAATATTGCTGTAAGTAATCAGATTTAAATTATATGTGTAAAAGCAGAAATAATGCTTGATTGCATTCAATTCCCTAATTTGAAAGACTTTGAAAAAGTGCGTACATTTAATAATGAAGGAAAGGAGAGGGTTTGAATTTGTGATAAGTTGTTATAACCTTGTTAAGGATTGACTAAATACAAGTTGCTGTTATTTTCCTTGTGCTTTTATGAAATTTGATTTATGCCATATCACAATAATTAATATACTTTATAATTATTATTAAAAATTAAAATGTGCTGCAGAATAATTTAATGTTGTAGTTGGTAGCTGGACTGGAATTATTATTACTATTATCTTGAGATGACAGCTAAGCCAAATAAATATTTTCCATTATCAAAAAAGATAAAAACTGCGCATTTTTCTTGTAAATTAGCTCGGCAAATATACATTGCGCAAACCTTTCTTCTCCGTTTGAACATGTATGAAAATTGTGGCACATAACAGAGAATAGCATTTAGCACTGGGAGCATATAATGCGAGGTTTTTGTTAAAAGCGAAGGTGAAAGTGGAATTCGGCAGGACGCGCCCAGAATCTTCTTCCCAGCGTGCCGTCGAAAGCGAAAATAAAAACAATCGCCGCCGCGTCCTTTGCATAATCTAGTACCATACAATCATCTCTCTCGCGTAACACATGCAGACACTCTTTTTGTAAGTGAGTCGATTTACATGCATACTATTAAGAGCAAGCCAAGCGTATTTCCGGCTCGCAAAAACGCGACCTTTTTCTTACAAAAAGTGCTCCTTCAAGGAAAGAGCGGACTCTCAGCTTATTATGCATTACGCTGGCTTATTTGCATGCGCGTATTGGCAAATAAATTTTGTTCTTTAGCATGCATTCAAAAATTTGGACACATTTGCAATTCCCATTCCTAGATTACAATTGCTTGAATCTAATTGAATGCTTTAATTCTCATTAAATTAAAATTTTAAACTAGTGCTAAAAATTGTAAAAAATTATAAATTATTCTGTATAGGTTCTTGAAGTTGTTGTTGTGGAACCTTTTGGCACTCGAGGTGGTCATATTTGTTGAAATAAAATCCGGCTTCCTCCGTGGAGATGAGCAACTTTATTGTTTCTGCGCAGAAACAATAAAGTTGCTCATCTCCACCGAGGAAGCCGGATTTTATTTCAACAAATATAAATTATTCGTTAATACCGATTTTTATTGAAAGAAAAACATTTTTAAATGCTCTTTATAAATACATAAAATATTTTTGGTGCCTAATTAGAATCGTGCTAAATAATTGAGTAGAAATCAGATATTCCAAGATCCCTAGATTTCCTTTTAAATTAAAACCCTCTTTATGTTTACAACAGTTAATTTTATATACTCTCTGTGCGGATAATTTTGTAGTTAAACTTGTATTGGAGTTTGATGTTTAAATATTATTTTTTACTTATATTATTAACATCATAATCAAATGTTTTTTTTTATAATATATAATTTTCATCGTTGCTCCCTCTAAAAAGGCATAATTTTGTCTAGCTCAAGGTAAGCAATTTTTTTCTGAGAAGTAGTTATTGTTCAAACCGCGGATATAAATAGAGTCGACAAAAGCAAACTAATAATACAACACGACAATTAAACCATTTCCCGCGTACTTGAACTCTCAGCCTTCCTCAAAAAAGATGCCCCCATGATATTGAGCAGTTTCATAACGAGGCACGCACTGTGATGTTTGTGTGCGAAAAACAAAAGCAACGCATGCTGGAATTTGCTAATTATGTCGCACCATACAACTCGCACATATTGCAATAAACACGGTAGGAACTAGGAACAAGCAATTTTCTGCGTTGCATTCCCACTAATTAGCTAAATAATGCTAAACGGCGGTGCTCTCAGAAGTGCTAATTTGCACGCTTCGTGATCAGATTCATTATCAAAATCAGTGTCTGGAACTTTTTTTTAATTTTGTCCTTTGTCATTGGATTGGCTCGCACACAAATGACATCAATTATAAAATTGTTTAATTATCATAAAAATCTGGCCTTCCGAGAATAGAATTTCATATGATTAAGCAAATAATTTAATCTTTGAATTTAATTGATTTGTAAACATTTTGAATTTTTCTACTTTATTAAACATTTCTTGTAGTTTCCGTATTAATTTTTTATTTTACTCTTCTTCCTGAATGTAAAATTAAGTATTTTTAGGCAATTGAATTTAACAATAAATCAATCCGACGACGAATTAAAAAAAAAAAATAATATCCTCGCAGATAAAAAAGTGCTTGCATTAATTTTACGCAACGGCGCACCGAAGGTAGGGAAGACAAATTCTCACGCATATGCACCGCGAGTTAACAACGGCGTGTTTTTGTTTTCGTGTGCAACGGCCTCGAGGTCAGTCCTGAGGAGGATACCTGTCGGCGGTGGGGCCGGAGGCGCTGGCCCGCGCATATAAATTGGGACCCTGCGTCTCGGATATTCGCAGTTTTGCAGAGACTCGCCTCTAAAAGCTATCGGATTACCTTTTTTCGAGCACAATGCGCGCAGCTCTGGTAAGTCGATCTACGCGTCTAATTAATTTTCCATGTCTCTTTTGTTTCTCCGTAAAGTCTAGCAGGGATTGTTTTGCAGGAGGAAATAAACAGCCTCCAGACATGACTTTTATTCGGTTAAAATTTCTCTAATTATTCCCAAATTTTCAAGATACAAAATATCTTATGCTTCAGATTGAAAATATATAATATAAAATTTAATTTTAACTCTAGAATAAGGTGTGAAAATTGTACTAAAATTAACTCTTTTCAAAAATACATGTCATACTTCAAGCAGATATTCTAATCATGCGATATTGTTTGATTTTTTAATATGAATAGCTTACTCTGTTTCACTTCTCTTTATAATTATACTTTTTTTTTATTTTGTCTTTAGTTTTTATAGAAACTTAAAATTTTAAACTTAATTTTATCTAGTAAATAATTTACTATGACAACCTTGCCGGGCACAATCGCAATTTGTGGATTTAATAATTTTCATTTCAGATCATTTTCACCGTCTTGGTGGCCGTGTGCACCCTATCAGAAGCCGGTTATCTCGGAGGCTACGGCTATGGCTACGGATACGGCGGCTACCCTGGTGGCTACTACGCCCGACCCTACTACAGCGGCGGCTACTATAGACCGTCCTATGGAGGCTACTATGGCGGCTACAGCCCGTACTTCACTCGCTACTATGGAGGCTACTGGTAAATCATGACGAGGACGGCTTGACTGGATTGGAACTCTCCATAAAAACTTTCAATTGATCTTTTGTTTGAGGATCCTCTCAATAAAAACCATTTTTATACAGCACGAAATCACCAAAGACACATCAGATTGAGCTCTTTCTTTTCGATAAAATTTTTGTATGAAAAAAATCAAAAATAAAATTTACAAAAAGCAAATGAGGCAATCTTAATCTATTGAAATTTTTGTTCTTCCACTTTTCCCTAAAAATGCAGTTTTTTTTTAACTTGAAAAAATTAATAAAAAACCATCTTTGCCGATAGATGGACTCATATGGCTTCGGACTATAAATTGATGTGTTGAGGTCCTTTTTCATAAAAAATATGGTTTCTGATATGCAAATGAAACCGCGTGGTGCGGTTAGTTTTTGGTCATCGCTTCGATGCATTTACTTCAGCCAAAGTTTGCCCTCTCTTTTTTGCCATTTTGCGGTCGTCCTTTTGTTCGCCGATGCGCAGCTAATTTTACTCCAATCTCTTTGCCTTTGCCGGTCTCTTTCGATTTGTTGGAGTATGTGAATATGGGAAAACAAAAAATCTTATTTTACGTTCAATTTTTTGCAATAGTTAAGGTTTGATTTCAAACTCTTTATTTAAAAAAAAAAGCCGCAAAGGATTCCAATGAATTCTAACGATCTGGTAGCGAAAAACGAGAAGACGTGATTTTTCTTCTTGTAAGAATATTTGTTAGTTAAAATGGGCCAAGTTATTTTTTTAAATAGCATTTGAATATTTCATTTATAGGCCGGGTTAAAAAAGTTGCTAATGTCTTCAGCCTACTGGATATTTATAAGATCACATGAGAGAACAAGGATGTACAAGATGAAATTTTATTTCATGTTCCCAACAAACCCTGAGGACAATAATGCACATTGCCAAATTATAATAATAATAAAAAGATCCGATATAGCTCTATTCAAGAGCACTGAGAGCGTCGATGCGCGAGCCGGGTATGATGTTATTCACTTTTCAACACGCGATTGACCTTTGGCTTTACACTCACTGCTCTGGTCAAATATTCAAACAGCGCAGCTGAATCAGACGCTCGACATCATAATCAGTTTGCGTCCAACATGTGCTAGTGACAGCACACAAGCATATGAGAAAGACAAACTGGACATTTTTGCTCAGAGATAAATTATGTGAACGCGCTGTTCAAAATGTTCGTGATAAACGTAAGTAGTAATGGATAATTTTAAATATTCTAGTGAAGGTAAAAGAAATTCTACATTCATATAAAAGATATTGAAGTGAAAATCTTTAAAAAGTTTCATATAATTTTACATTTAATCAATGCTCTGAAAAATATTTATACCAAAGATAAAAAAAAAATAGAAACTTCAAAAATTCTTGATTGAAAAAATCCTTTCAATTTTGTTATTATAAAGTGACAGAGAGAATAATGATTTTTTTCGCATATTTATGAATCAATAAAAAAAGCCAATTTTTCATTTAACCCATTCTCTGCCCTCATTTTCAGACACAGGTGATCACCGGCGGCAAGATGGACCTTTTCCACGGTCACATCAACTCGACCACCAAGCCGAGTCCGTCAGGCAACTCGGAAGGACTGGCCGCCCTTTTGCTGCCGGCGTGCGCCACTCTGATGCTGGCCGCCCTCGCTCTCTTGCTGGCCATGTCGGAGCGGTGGCCGCGGGCCGTGGCCACCGCCATGATGGCCGCCTTTCTTTTGCTCACCGCCTTCATCCTCGCCTACGGCCTGCAGGACGAACCGCCCATCACGTTTGCTTGAGACTGCTGAAGAAACCGATGAACAATTTTGACTAAAAGCGCAAAAGTTATTTATGCGGAACTTCTTTCAGATGATTTTCTTAACAATTACACTCACTGTGTATTAATTTTTTTTAATTACAATGATCGACGAAGAATTTTAATTTTAATAAATGAAGTGTATTAAGTGAAATGAAAAATAAAATATTAAAACGTACAAGTTGTTAAAAAAAATTGACCTTCAATATTCATCATCATGCTCGTTTTAAATTCATTCTTAATGCGTGTTAATTTCACTTTAAAAATTTAATTAAATCAAAGGGCTTTTAAGTGCTTTGCTGCTCTTAAAAAACTGGTCCTCGTTAAGACAAGCAGCATTTAAAAAAAAAAATACTAATAATATGCAAGCCACAGCCCCCTCTCTGTCTTGAGAAAATGTGTATTAATAAAATGCTGGACAGAGGGTCACATGATTGTAATATGCATGCCATTTTCAAGTAAAATTTAACACACAAGTTTTTTTTCAAGCAGCCTAACCCACTATCCCAAAGAAGATCTCTCACTCACACGTTCTCCTCAGGAACAGAATATCTGTGGAGCACGTGACGGCCAAGGTGATTTCACCTGTGCATAGCTGTGGTGCTTTCAGTCAAGTGCGCGAGCCTGTTTGGAATTGAAAAATCGTGTGTGACGGTGGATTAAAGGAGCTTACACGGTTAGTGAATGCCAATCGCAGCCGCGAAGAAAAAACCCCGAAAAAAATGTATATTGGGCGAGCGTCTCTATAAAGTTTGTCTTCAGCCTTGACAGTGTGCGCCAAAGATCGGGAGAGACCGGCTGCGAGTGCAACTCGATCGCCTCAAGATGTAAGGGAGACCAGTGAATATTATATGTAAAAATAACATATTTTGAATCTCCAAGATTAAACACTCGTTTCTGGAAAAGAGTAACGGATTATTTTCCCTCTGCCTAAAACTAAAAGGTTAGTTCATTATGGTTCATTAATCTTACTTTATATTTAAATAATTTGATTTTGACATTCAAATTATTTTAATATAATTATTGTGGAAATAATGTTAAAATCATAAGAGATCGTGAGAGGTCAATGGTTAGGGTTTTTCTGGAAATAAATATTTGTTCCACCTTGTAAAAAATAAGGTGGTGATTTAGACATAAAAAGATTTTATCTTCTTTATCTGTGATATTAAAGATTTTTACAAAAAAACAGAATACATATAAAATATTAATATTTCATTAAAAGATCGACGATTTAAAATTAAAGCTGATTTAAAAAAAGAAGCATAATTTCATTTGCAACTAATTTCCCTGAGAATTCAATTTTGAATTGTAACATTTTTGCCTGTGCTATTTTATTGTTCATTTTAACATTTTGTAAAATAATCCCAATTTATCATCAAATTGGCTATTAAATATTAAAGCTCATTTTACCAAAAGATAAGCAGAGAATTTGCCGGTGATCTTGATTCTCTTTTGAATTTTTCCTGATATCTTCACGTGTAATTTTGATTTGAAATTCAATACAAAGATGAAATGAAAAACAGAGCTTAAAATTCAGTTTCTTAGAAAAATAAGTGTACAGCATTGGCTTTGCTAAAAAGTTTCAAGTAAATTTTAAGCTACATCTTAATTGAATATTGATTATTCATATCTATTTATCCAACATTTTTCTCAAAATCCTTGCTCTAACAGGATAACTCCAGATGTATACAAAAAATTGATTTTACCCTTCAAAAATGTTGAAATTAATTTACAAATTAATTAATTTTTCTGGAGAAAGTGAGGTGAATTTAATTTTTATGTGCAATAACCGTCGACTCAATTGAGCTGGAAGTTTGTATGCGACTTAAAAAGACCAACGATAATTTTGTGCTTGCGTCCCATGCCCAAAAAGTTATTTCGTTTGTACAAAAGGGCAGACGGTGTGCGATTAATTATGCCGACACACACGTTTATTACAGAGCAAACTTTGCGAAATCAGAGCTGGCATTGCGTTATTTTCAGGGCGCTGGCAACGAGTGTGCGCAGCTCTGGGGGTGGCAGGCGCGGGGGTGGTTGGGGAGCACCCCCGCCAACCTCGCGCAGGGCTCAGTCAGTTTGTGATCGCGGGGCCGACTTGATAGCACCGAGGTGAGTGTCTCTGCCAATGTGGGTTACTATGGCTCCGTTCTCTGCCTCACATATTGATTCGCTCTCTCTTGAAACTCCGCCACCGTTTTCGGCCCGAGTTTGTTGCCGGATTCCACGAATTTTCCCGGCTGCTTTTCACCCAGGATTTTCTCAGTCAAGCCAGGATGAGCAACCCCCCGTTCAGACTTATCTTTGAACAAAAACGATCAATATCAAGAGAGAAATGAAATTTTTATAGAAAACACTGATTAATGCTGATTTGACCAAAATATTTAAAACGAAAATAATTTTGATAAGGAAGTGAATATTTTTATTTTTTTATTCTATGAGATAATTTTATGGGGGATAAATTTAAGTTCATAAAGTTTTTGACGCATAAATTCATGAAAGGTTAATATTTTTCAAAATTTGAACTACTAATGCCAAAATGATAAATTTCCTTCTTCGGATTGAAAACAATTGAGGGAAAATCAGCAAGCTGCAGCTGCAAATTTTCATTGGTTTAGTTTAACTTGAGTAAATCTGCCTCGAGGTTTGTCTAAATTTTCTAAATTCTGTGAACTATTAAATATATTTATTGAGTAATTTTATAAATATAAAATTTAAGCCATTAAAACGACTGATAATTTTCAGACTGAATTATTTTTATAATCATACAATACATTTCGGGTTCTGGTTTATATCATAAACTCCAAATTTGCTGGAACGCGAGGAATTTCTATTAAAATCAACCAAACAACTTCATTAGTTCCACCCTGATGCAGCGATTTTACACGCGGTCGCATTCTTCCATGCTTGTGACGATTATTAAATGAAATTCCGCAAGGGTGGGGAATAAAAATTTTGCCGGAAATTTCAGCAACTCACCCTTTTCAAAACACTCGCGTGGTAGGAAAGGAGCAGGAATCCCCCTCGAAGAGAGTTTTCCCATCTTTGTGCGCTAAATGCCAATTCAAACTGACGTCAAGTGGTGCTTCGCCTTCTCCTTATATTCTGGTGCGCTGAGGACGCGAAAATGCAGCGACTAATATTTCCGGCAAATGAATGAGCAGAGAGGATGGATATGTAAAAAAGAGGAGTGGCGAATTAATCCCTCGAGAGATGGCAAGACCAAATTGTTTCTTTTCCGGCGGCCTCTCTCTTAACTTAAGTTGGTTTGGTTTAAAGAAAAGTTACAATTAAAATTCTTCATCCTTGAGATATATCATCAAAAAAGTAGGTTAATTTTATTTTGCTGTTGATGCTTTTTTTAATTTACTTCCAGATTGAATTTTTAAAAACTTTGGTTCTAAAATTTATAAGTAAATTATTTTATTAATTTATCTTCCAAATTTGATGCCTTTAGGTTAAAAAATCCCACAAGTTTTCAGTTTTCTTTTCTATCTGGAAAAGTATCCAGCACTTTCTAGTTTTCCATGGCATCGTTGTGTCACAATATAAACTTCTCGTCTTCAGCGCACCCACACGCTCAAATTTCCTCGCTGTTTGCCGAGAAGACGCTCCCAACAGATTTTATTTTGCTCCACTCGCGTCGACGTCAATCGCCGACGGTGGAACAATTTACAGCCCCATCACATCTCACTCTCCTGTCTAGCCCGACTCAATACAAATCAATATGTGGCGAGGGAAACTGAAGAGCTCTTCCACAGGTGTATCGAGTGAAAATTAATTTCAATTATATACCCAAGCGCGTCGCACGACCGACAATGTGTATGAAAATACACACAAGGCACCCCAAAGTGATCGAGCTCCGGTGCTTCGGGTGGTCAGTCAATTATGCAAATGGACCGTGGTCAGTGGTGGGTACGACCAAAGCAGGCACGAGCAGGGAAAATGATCAAAATTTTTACCCTCAGTCAGTATGATACTCTGAAAAGTAGATTATTACTTTTATCGGGATATTGAAGCAATTTTCCGCAGAAAACTCCCTTCAATCAAGATAGAAAGAAAACCCATATATAATGATGATAAAAAACAATAAAAATAAATCTTCAAATTGTAATTATACAATAATAGAATACAATAAATTTAACAAAAGATTTTTAACCACACAAAAGATTGTTTAAATTTTTTTTTATATAAATTAATAACTGCTATTGTGCAGCTAACAATGAGGTTTATTTAAAAAAAAAGTATTACTCCTTACAAAAATATGTACAACAATAGTAAACTCTTTTTCAGATTGTTGTAAATAATAATTTGCTTGAATTTTCCTTCCTTTGAGGTATCATTCTTTATAAAATGACAATAGCCCGACTGATTTCAATTATTAAACTTTCACGCCCACAAGAAAATAAATGCAAGCATAATTTTCGTCTCATTAAATTCCTTTAAAGGAGTAATTTAGACCTCAGAGCACAAGAGTGAGCAATAATCAAACAATGGAACAATTTGCCTTTGTCAAGAATTAGTCCTTAAGAAGGGTTCGCTGCTTGATAAATTACCAATATTCAATACTGTTGCTGCGAAAACTTGCAAAATCTGCAGAAAAAATACAAAAACAATCATGGCATGTAGCGGAACGATAATTTTTTTTTAGCTATTAGAAACTATATAGAGATTTGATTCGAGTGTAAAAATGAAAAAGATAAAAAATGTTCAATGACCTGATTTTTTATGTTAATTCAAATTTGTATGAGATTTACAGACAATTTCCCAACTTTTTAATTGATTATTTGTTTGGTCATTTTTGAATGAACAATATGGATAGAAAAGTTATATGTATAAAGAGGAGTTTTTTTGCGTTTTGAGAATTTAAAAGTTTGGTTGTTTAATATGCAATTAAAATCGTAGCCAACAATCAGATTTCTCTACCTTGAATGGTCTAAGAGTACATCAAAGCTGAATATTTTGATAAATTCCGCAACAATGTATTCAGAGTTTCAAGTAAGAACCCATTTTTTTTATTAACATTTTTAATAAGTAATAAAAAAAATTAGCCGAATTTTTTTTTTTTTTACAAAAATGATTGGCACCTTTTTCTTTCTCCTCTCTATTGATCTCAAAATAGATTTGCTCGCCCCAAGAGAAAGCATCTTCTCCATGTATTGTGATGACGTCCCTTTTTTTACTTCGTCAACGTCTCATTGACTCCGTTCGATCGTCGCGCGCGTGCAGAGCAGAGTCGAGACGGTATCATATTTGGCAGAAGCGAGCAAGGAGCAAGCGTGCAGCCCTGCAGCCGCGGCTGCGAGTCAAAAAGAGCCCGGCATCGATCGCTTTTGGCCAACTCAGCATCCGCGATCGCCCCTGGCGCCCTCTCCAAATCTTTTCGCCCTCTAACCAGACCCTCCGACGCGTTTCCACGTTTTTCCCTATGTGCGGTTCGCGGAAAAAAGCAGCCGTGCGGCTCAATGCTAATGAGAGCTAAGAGGCGGCTACTTTTGTAAACCGCAAATTTCAACGTTTCAAAACGTAGAGTTTCATTTTGTTTAATGCATCACGTCATAGTTCATTAAGTATTAAGTTTGAACTTATACTTACAATTAATTGGAATGGAAGGTTACAATCACCATTAACTTGAACAAAATTAATTAATGAAAATGATAATTTCTTTTTTAGTTTAAAAGAACCCATCTCATTGTAAATCGCGTTTAAAACATTAAAGATTTCAAATAATTTCAAGGAAATATTTTCTTTCACCATAAAATTAAATGACCACACTGAGTTTCCAAATCAATATTTTTTATTTTTTAACATCCATTTAATTCCAATGAAGTTGTTAAAAAAAGTACTGAGAGTGATACACAATGCTAAAAAATTATCAGTTATCTTTTCTTATGAAAATCTCCAGAAAAATCGTTTTCACAATATATTTTGACACTGCACTACCAAAGATCCATGTCAGAATGAATTCCAGATGGAATTTAAAATCCTTTTTCACTAGAAGCTGTTGAGGCCTTGTATATTTTTAAATTCATAAACTAATGCCAAACTTTGGTTCATCAATTTGTGAGGAGAGAAGTGCTTTTGAAAATTTTCCAACCTTCCTAATTTTTAGCAAAATCCAACTAATTAAGGAGATCGAAAAATTCTTGCAAAGCCGCAGACGAAGTGTCACATTCATCGTGCCATTTCACCCGCATGCCTTTGAACTCAATCACTTTAATGCCGGCGGGAGCTGAATTATGCATATTATTTGCGAGTGTGCCTGCCTCACAGGGAGAGCTTTGCTTTTTACGTATGCAAGAGAGTGTAAAGCAGCGTGGCGTGTGTGCTATGCTCGTACTCTGTTCGTTGCACAGCAATTTGCGCTGATTGAGCCGTGTGTGTCGCTCGCTCACACATATTACACACAGACTCGCATGCAACGTGACAAAATTCAAATGAGCCGCGCTTTGCGATTTAATCACCGAGCTTTTATGTAGATGCACGGAAAGCTTTCCTGTCAATCAAAACATACGTCAAATAAATTGTAAAATAAATATTATATTTCTCCTAACAAAAAGTATAAAAGTATTCACTTGCAACGATTATATGATTGCGTGCGTTTTTTTTATATAATAAAGGAAGATAAATATTTAAAAATCCCAGATTCTATCAACAAAATTAATCTTTAAATTATTTTTTACATAACGAACCAACTTATTTGTAAGACTGCTATTTATATTATTTTAAGAACCGCAACAGAAAATTTATATAAATCAAGGATTCATTATTTAATAATAGCATAAAACTAAATAAATATATAAAATGCAAAATTTAATATTTTTATTTGAATAAAAATTTTAAAACAGAAGATTAAAATTTAATTTAAAAATAATCTAAATTCACTTTTTACATATTTAATTTTGGGACAAAAGAATTTTTTTGTATTAAGTTTTAAATTTAATTTGAATTATTTTGGATTTTTCAAATTTTATTTTTACTTTTTTATTAGCTGTTTTCTGTGCCAAAATGACGAGACGTGGCGTATAAACGTTAAGAATTTGTGTCCCTTCTTTTGATAAAGAACGCGTACACAAATGAGGTGACGTTTTTTGTTATATTATAAAGTTGTGCACAGTATAAACTTTTCCACTCGCCCATGTTAACGGCCGTGTGTGAGGTGAGGAGTCATTATCAGTACCGCCGCAGCAGACAAGTAAAAGTGTGTCTTCCAGACGCTCTGGAAACCGCGAAAAAGCAGGCAACGCAAAAGGTATCAATTTTCCTCAACATTCATGCAGCGAGTAATACTCGAGAAAAGAAGTGGGCCTCAGGGTTCATAAAGTGAAAATAACTCGGGCATTGTCCTCTCGTTCTATAAATTTTTAATATTAATCAAAAACAATTACGGCTTTGCCAGTTTAATTTGCGGTGTGTACCCATTTGCAAAAGCTAAGAAATCAGAAAATTCGGATGAAAAAAATAGCAAACTTTTAACGGATGGCGTTATTCCTGAATCATTTAATTTTTTTTTCTCAAAAGAAATAGGGTTGCCAAATGTGTCCGAAACTAAAAAGAGCAATCTTTTGCTCTTTTAGAATAAAAAATATTTTCTTTTACTTGCTGTGGTTACGAAAAAGATGCAGTAAACTGGTTTAAAAATCATTGTTGTTTTTTTAACGCCTCCAAAATTATTTGGCAAGGTCGCAGGATGGCTTGTGTTCTAAATTTAGAAGATCGATGCGAATGACAAGGTTTTTATTTTGGGACTGGTTTAGATGTATAATTCTTTCATAACATTGTCATCTATTTTTACCCACACAAAGTAAAATTCTAAACAAATAAATAAATAGTTTTTTTTTAATATTAAAAACTATGAAAAGTTAACATCTTCAAAAAAGGGCATTAAATATTAAAAAATCTAAAAATTTTATTTTTATTTTTCAATAAAATAATAAGTACTGTCATCTCATTTTCAGTTAAGTTTATTTAATTACAATAGATTGAAAAACGAAATTTTCAATAGATGTTTTATATATTTATCAAAACCCACAAGCGTAGGACCATCTTGATTATAAAAATTCAAAATATTAAAATTCATTATTATTGGTAAAAAATTTCATTGAAGAAATAATCATACAACAAGGAATTTAACTTAGAGATGCATGTACTAATTTTAAAAGCATTAAATCGTCAAAGTCACGTGCAAAAAGTGGAGCCTCGCCACAGAACTTGTTTTTCCGCTTCAATAAAAAAAAAATTAACTCGGCTGATTTTAAACCCTACCTTTCTTGTTGCAAAAAAAATGGAAAGATCTGGCTGCCTCGGTCAATCGGCGAGAGTGTTTCAAAGCGATAGGAGCTGCCGGTGACAAAAAGGGTTCGACGTCAGTGGTTCATAATGGAAAAGCATTAGAATGTACGTATATTCATGAGTCGCAGTGCACGCGGGAGTGTTTTATCGATTAGTGAGGGAGCGACGTACGCACCCCGTTTTATATTCACATCATTATGCCATCAGCAACAATTGGATTTGAATTCGCCCGGCCGTGGATGGCGCGTTCAATATCGACTGCTTCTGGCAGCCTAATTTAACCACTTTTAAGACGTCACAGGACTAACCCGAAGGTTTTTAAATTTGATAAGAGCAAATGAGATAAAGTGAGATGTAAATTCAGTCTGCAGAAGGAAATTACTCGCTTGATTCAATCACCCTTCAATAAGGTCTTGAGACTTGAGACTCCGTACATACTTTTTGCTCTCTCTGACTTTCATTTATATACATTTTTTTTTAAATTTAAACCCTAGGCTGGCGAATTTTACTTTTTCCACAACTTCATTAATACACAAGGGGGTAATAATTATTAGGCCTTTCAGTAATTAATTTTTACAAAATCAATTAGTAATTGGATTTAAAATTCGGTTCCCCCTTTTTTTGGTTTAATTTGATTAAAACATTGATTCAAATTTCATCTCAAAATGTATTAATTAAAATAAAATGATAATAACTAAAATAATAAATGAAAATAAATTAAACGAAAAAAAATAATAAGTTTTATAATCTGAGTGTATACATAATTAAATTTTTTAATGAAATTACCATGTTTTTTTATATCCTGTTGGAGAGTTTAAATTCAAGGAAGATAGTTAAAATGTTTTTTGAATTATAATTTTAATTGTAAATGATATTTTTTTTCTCAAATATTCAAATTAACTCAACAAAAATGTTATATATTAACCCTTTATTGATTTTTTTGCAGCTCGTAATGAGGCAACGAGCCGTGAGAGCCGCGTGGCGCTTCGCGTTCGGCATGTGCCTCTTCCTGGCCTCGTCGACGGTCAATTCGGCGACCACCCGTCCGCCGCCGCACGCCAAACCTCTGCACACGACGAAATTGGCGCCGATAACGCCAAACGCCACAGTCGCGCCCATCATCAGGGACAACTGCACCCCGCCGGCGATCGAGCAGTTTCCGCGGCCCATGATGAGTCCCGAGACGCGGCGCTCCGGCGGCCTCATCATCCACGTGCTCGTCGCCATCTACACCTTTGTTGGACTGGCCATTGTCTGTGACGACTACTTTGTGGCCTCCCTTGACAGAATTTGCGAAGGTAAATAAAACATTTAGAGTTATTTGAATTTGTTAAAGCAATATTTAAAAAAAAATATAAGTTAATTAGTTAAAACTTTTTGAATTTATATATAAAGTTGCAAATTTTTATAATTAGTTTTGATTAAATATGTTGACAAATGAGTTAAATCTTTCAGCTTTAGCTCACTTTGCCCAAATTTAAAATAAAATTGTCTAGCTGTATGAATTATTTAATTTTTTTTAAGAAATTTTAGAAAAATTTGTAGATATTTTTTATTATATAATCGCGCATCACAATTTTATCTGCAAGCTCAAACATAAAACTTAATTATTTTGGCATGATAATTTTTACTTTTGTAATTTTGCTTTTTGGTGCAATAAATTTTAGTTATAGTTATAAGCAAACCATCAATTTTGTATTAAATTATCAAATATAAATATTGGTTACATAACAGACGCCAAGTTAAACCGGTTTGCGAATGTTTAAAAATCTCATCACTTTAAGTCAAGTAAATATTTTGCGTATAAAAATACACAAAACCAGTTTGCTATATTAAAACTTTTTCTTTTTTATGTTTAGCACTCGCGACACGTTATATTGAATATTTGGCTATTTTTAGAGTTGAAACTTTCACCCGATGTGGCTGGAGCGACGTTCATGGCAGCGGGGTCCTCTGCACCGGAATTGGCGACCGTCATAATCGGCGTTTTTTTCGCAAAGGTAACTCTAGCTTGAATGTTTAACTTTAATACTATCTAAATTTAGAAAATAGAAATTCCAGCAACTCGTGGTTCGCGTTTAATAAAATAATACCAAATTTATAGGACGACATCGGAGTGAGCGGCGTGATAGGCTCGGCCGTGTTTAACATAATGTTCGTGATCAGCGTGTGCGCCTTGTGCTCCGGCACGGTTTCCTACCTCAATTGGTGGCCTCTGGTCAGGGACTGCTTTTTCTACATGGTCAGCATTTTGGTCATGCTGCTCACCATTTACGACGAGACCATCACTTGGTGAGAAAATCAATAAATAAATAGTCAAACATGTGATGATACACAAAACCAGCCAGGCCTTTATCCTTTAAAACTTGGTGATAAGAGAAAAATAGTTATAATTCTATTTTTTTTTAGTTATAAAAAAATGCAATTTCTAAAAAAATCAACTTTCCAAAGCCCTTGTTACTTAGATACTGTTCCGCTGCACTTCAGAGTTTGACCAGTTGCATAAGATAGATTGGAAATATTTTTTTAATAAGAGTGGAAGCAAAAAAATATTACTACCTTCTTTATTTAATGACTTTTTTTAATTATATCGGAAAATTTCATTTCAACAATAATATGAGATTTGTCTGATCTACAACCATTTAATTAGAATTTCACAATTATTAGAAAAATAAATTCAATAATTTTCCTTTTCAGGAGTGAATCTCTGTTCATGCTCTTTATGTATGGCGTGTACTGCGTGGCTCTGAGATTCAACAAACAATTGGAGCAGTGGGCACAGACCCTTCCCATTCCCTGCAAGTCCGAAGTGGCCCATCAGGGACCTCCAAAGGTTCTTGGTGAGTCATCCGGCCTGGCGGAAGGTCAGCGACCAAACAGTTACACCGAGGAAAAGGAAACAGAATTTGGAAACACGGAGCAGCAGCTCGAGGGTGCCGAAGGACAGCCCGAATACTACCACAAGGTATAAATTTAAAAAAAAAAACTTTTCCTCGAAGTCTATAAAATCGTTTCAGGCGCCTCGACCTGAAATGGAGGAGACGGACCCTTTTGTCATTCCCGAAGGAACGGTCAACCGCTGCCTTTGGGCGATCACGCTGCCCATCCACGCCCTGTGCAAAGCGACCACCCCTGACTGCAGGAAGGAGAAGCACAGGGACAAATACGCCGTCACCTTTTTTATGTCCATGGTGTGGATCTCGTTTTTCTCGTACATCATGGTTTGGATGATCACTGTAATAGGTAAGTAAAATTTATGCAAAAAGATAAACTTAAAAACAACTTATGAAGCCAAAAAAATAAGAATTTAATTTAAATTTTATTTTTTGTAATTCCAAAAGAGCAATGAACTTTTAAACCAAAAATTACAGGAAGTACTTTGGGCATTCCTGACACAGTCATGGGCCTGACCTTTGTGGCAGCTGGAGTCAGCGTGCCGGATGCACTTTCCAGCTTGGCCGTTGTTAAAGAAGGTATGGAATTTGTTCTTAAATTAGAGGGATATTTAAAAATTAATTTTATTTATTTTAAAAGGGGTAATATTTTTTCAATTCATAATCATAGATTTTTTTTGTAAATTTTGTCCTTAACGCATTCAAATAATTTTTCAAATATTTTAAACAATTAACTTTTTAATTTGAAAAAACTAAAAATCATTTTAATCATGTTTCATTTTAATTTTCAGGTTATGGTGACATGGCTGTTTCCAACGCTGTGGGCAGCAACGTGTTTGACATTTTGATCTGCCTGGGGCTACCCTGGTTTTTGCAAACTGCCATTATCAGCCCCGGCAGCACGGTTACGGTAATAAGCAAAGGTAATGCCAAATTTTATAACCAATCAAAAAGGGACGATATATTTTACGCGCCACTTGAGACACGTTATATTGGCCCTTAATATTGAGCTGTCATTATTATCGTCTCGCATAAAATTCTGCCAAAACTCAAATTGACTGCCATCTCTCGAGAGAGGCAGAAACAAAACCCAAAATCGATAAAAAGCCTTTTTTTTTACTTTTTTAAATGAATTCTCTCTTTATGAATTTACATCAGAAAGAATGTCAAATGATCAGATTTGATTTAATCGCAGGTTTGACGTACTCGACCCTGTCTCTTTTGTCCACGGTGGCCTTCCTGATAATCGCGACGCACATGAACGGCTGGAAGTTGGACCGCAAGTACGGCTGGATCCTAATGGCGTGGTACCTGTTCTTCATCATATTCGCCAGTCTGTACGAGCTCAACGTCTTCGGCTACATGAACCCCCCGGAATGTCCAAGCATCTACTAAGGGGCTCATCATATCAGCAAAGTCACGTCATAATCAATCGCCGTATTTATATAAAACATTGCTTATACACGTTGCAAAACTGCCGGAAAGAGTGAAAGAGATGTGGAAATTTCCATAAAAGTTTTGAAAAGAGGAATTTGGGTTGGATGAATTTATATTAACCACAGATTTTTTTAGGAAAAAATTATTTAAGAAACGTAAAAGCGTAACTGTGATTTTTTGAAAGAGGATGAGAGGAAAATTGTTAAAAAAAAGTTGGACGAGGAATTTACACTAAAAAGCAGGTCTTTGATTGAACTGCCTGGCGCAGGCTTTATATTGACTGGTTTATTTTTATTATTTTTTCTGATCCCAACAAATTGGCGGCAAAAACGTGTATACAATGCACCCTTGACATGTTTATCCAACGACTGTTGATTATATTACTCCCTGTTCGGAGCCGTGTTGGTGTTCAGATATGTTCAGCACACAAAAGTGTCAAAAGTGTCTCGGTGGTTGTACAAAATTGTTAACAAAAAATGAAAAAAACTGCTGTTAAATGTGAGTAAAAGGGAGAGCAACGAAAATTGTATGATTTCTTTAAGGTTATGCAACCGGTGTTGCCGATGTGTTCGGCGAGTTGCGTAAGTTTCTTTTTTTAATTAATTGTGTAAATTTATTATTCTAGTCTATGAATGACATTAAAGAACTTAAATCTGTCTAAAAAAAATCAGCTCTGAAAATTTCCTCGTTCACTGTCCTCTTGTACTAAAATGTATTGTATTTGGAGAAAGTATACATTTTGTTTTGCTGGAATTTAAATAGCAAAAATAACCCACTAAAAACATTTTATCGGCATGTATTTGGGCCATATATAATATTATACATTTACAACTGTTTGTATATGATGTTATAAGCGTTTATGTGATCAGAAGCAGACACGTTTCAGTGGATAATTGTAAAAATTGTCTTGGAGGGAAAGAATTGATTTCAATTAATCAAACACAGCAAACACGGTACTTTTAAAACATGTTCAATCCATCGCGTCCGGCGAAACAATTCTGATGCAAAAGATAAATAAGCGTATTGTGATTCCTTAAAACGTACATTCCATATTTTTTAAAGTGTTCCAACGTGGCAAATTTATTCCCTTCACTCAAATGAACATCATTCTGAACATAAAATTAAAAAATTGACAATATTTTACTGTAGATTGAGTTTATTGATTATACTTTTATCTCAATCATTAATGTATGGTTGACAAAAATTGGATGAATATTCTAGATTAATTATACAATAGGTATTGCAGAACTTATATACAAATTATTAATTAGTGCATCTTTATCAATTTTGATTGAATTGCGGATTGAAACGCGTGACAATAATTAAAAGAGCCTTATACATACACATTACTGTATATTATACAAGATTAACATTACTATATATGTAGAGAAAATAATTTAATTTAATTTTAGCCCCTAGAAATGAAATTTACAATTAAAACCACTAGAATTCAATTAAAATGCAATGGTGCAATTAAAATACAAACTATTTAAGGTAAAAAGGAGCTAAATACATTTAAACTATAAGATTAACATGAAAAAATTTAAAAATCAAATGGCTCCTTTTTATCAAAAGATCAATTCAAACCATTTTAGGCAACATAGATCGAATTCAATTAGAAAAGTCAAATTAACTGAAAAAGCGTTGGTGTGTTACTAAAATTAAATCTCTTTTCATTAAAAAAAAATAACACATATTAATGGTACTTAAATAAATATAGCCGTAAACGTGTTTTATAGGGATAAAACAAAAAGAAAATCAGGAAGCTTATGAGGAGTATGTTAATATTCACAATCGGTATGAATGAATTCAAATCATAATGTGTAATAATATTTGAATATTATGGTAATAAATATACCGTTTAATTCGTGAGTGTAAGTTACATAAAAAGCAAAAAGCTTATAAAAGCGTTTGGCTGTTCAGTACAGAGGAAAACAATTAACTTGTTTTAGGAAAGACACAAACACACATCAACTACATACAAACTCGTGAGTTTTAAGAGAATAATATTATAGTTAGTCTGGTTATAAGACGAATGTAGATGTTACTGACAAATTAACAAAACCCAATTATTAAATAATGTAAAATGCATAAGTATGGGATTGAATGTAAAATCAGCATGTAAATATAATACATTCCAGTTGGTTATAAACTGAGAGAATGATGTATATTTTAAGTGCAAATTAATTATTAAGATGTTAATTCGATTGTACTGATATAGTTGCAAAAAAGCTTTGCAATCTAAGGCTATTTAATGTACCAAAAATTAAGAGAACGTTTCATTTTTGGTAAAATTATTATTTGGATAATGCTCTTGTAGAAAAGACAATTGTACTACTCAGTAAAATGTCATCATCAATCAATTTATTCTATCAGTTGAATCACTGTTAAATACCGATATATTAAGAAATTATTATTAATATCAAAATGTAATAACTGCCAAGATACATAGGAAAACGAGGGAAAACCAGTAATTAGCTACTGATACTGTATAAAACCGTAGAATATACTCAAAGTTGTTGAAACGTAATCAAAAATATATACTGTGTACTTATCGGACCGACAAAAAAATGCAATTGTGTCTCTCACAATTAACCCAAATAAAATTACTGCACAAAAAATATTCTTAGGCATTTAATTAAATTAGCATAATTATGACTATTATGAGTAAAAATGTCCTCAAATTCTAAAAAAAAGGGAATTCTTTTGTCCTGATGTTTTTATTATGTTAAGGAAAGTGGCACTCCGGAGGCAAATCATAAAACCTGCAGATCAATCCTCGTTCAGAATTTTTGATTTTTGATTTTTTGAAATCGAAACAATTTCTTTGTGGCGAGGAAAAGCCTGGATTATCATAATATCACTTTTTTAACCAACTATGCAACTATCTCAACACAAAAGCTACACAGGTTGCCTAACAGCGAGTTACATAAATTAAAAAAATTATAGAGCATGAGGAAAAATTGATCAAATTAATTTTGCTATTATCATACAAAATGAGCTCAAAATTCATCCGTCAGGAGGTATCTCCGTTGGATTGTTGATTATGCAAATTAGCGAATGTGCCAAAATTACCCGGCAGACACGAAAAGTGCGGATATAATTTCGCGGCGCTCAGCCAGAGCGCGATGGTGCGTCTTGATAAAGGGTATAATACAAGCTAAAATTATAGTATTCATCACTCGACAGGTGTTGGGCAAGGAAAGCGTTCGGGGAATCTAAATCAGCACCTCAGGAGGCAGATGCAACCGCAAAAGTCCTGAAAAATGTTTGTTTTGTGGAATTCCGTTTTTATCTTTAATAAAAAGAAGCGTTTCCCTCTCTTGATTGAATCGGTCAGCGGGAGAATTATTTTATTATTTTCTAATCAAGTGGAAATCATCTCACTTCGATTTGAGCCTCTCTTTTTCTACCACCTGGAAAAGCCGAAAATAATATAACAATGTCAAGAGCGGCGCGTAACAAGGGGCACCGATAAATGGCGTCAAATAAATCGCAAAACAGCTCGCGCGTTCTGAATAGGGATCTGAAGTTGGCCCCCCATCTGCCGCTGCGTTCAATTCGAACGAGATGATTTTTTGTATTATGCCCGACGATGCTCTGGTAGCCACAAAAGGTGTGAATTACACAGTGGCTGGCACAAAGCAGAGTCAAGGGACAGCGGCTCGGGCTTGAGCTCGTCACAATGCCGCTGCCACTCAATTCAATATTATTATATACTTTGGATGTGTATGTTTCCAGAAGTGACCCAGGCACGGCCAGAACCATATAATAATTAGAAAAAAAGCCAAATTTTTATTAAAAAAAAAAAAAAAAAAAAAAAAAAAATGCTTGAAGCAATATTGGAGTTTGAAATTATTCTGATTATTTTTGTTTAAGATTTCTTGATTATTATGTTGAATAGTTTTTTAAATAATCTAGAAAGAAATTTTCGTTGCCAATATTTATTTTGTAATTCATAATAGAACACTCAAGGTGGATACCATGAAAAATTGTAAACCAGGCTCATTGTTGCAAAGAGAGAGAAATGAAAATTATATATTTTTTAAATTTTTTTCCTACGCAACTATGTACCTGATCTCAAATTTTCATAATTCAAATAATTTTTTCACTTCATATGCCATCATGACAATGCAAGCGGAAAAATTCCAATTTTTTTTAAACTGATTCTTGTGCCAATGTTTGTAGTTTAAAAACTATTTATTTCAAGATGTGCATAAAAATAATTAAAAAAAAAATGGAAACTCTTGAGGAAACGCTCGACATAAAAAAATCACTTCTTTTAAATAATATCTTAGAAATTTCCAAAAAATAATAATACATAATTATTAAATTATTCTGGAGTAATATTATAATATAATTATTAACTATTTATGAATTAATATTAAAAACAGTGAGCAAAAAATACTTTGTTGAGCAAAGAATATTTAGTATATCCCAGTCCGTGTCTGGTCTCTCCACCATCCTCTGTCATCCCCGTCGATCCTCCCCTGCGTGAGCCTTTTCTGCGTCAGGCCTGCTGCCAGCACTGCTCATGCTGCTTGGCAATAACAGCGCATAATAAACTGACTAACAGCATAACTAGCACTTCATTATCCCCGCTTTTTATTTATTATTCTCGCTTTACACTCGGCGGCCTTCTGCATAAATCGCAGCAACTTTAATTTCATTTCTATGTGAAGAGGGGTGGCGGACAATTTGACACAAAGAGCGAAGTAATATCAAAGCTGAAAGTCGTCATCGGCCACCCTGTCACTCTTATTACGTCAATTATTTTCTTTTCATAGTTGAATGAGACACTTCATTATTTTTCAAAAAATATCGGGGCTACTTTTATTAGAGGTGAGAAATTTATTTTTCTAAGTTGATTAATATAATTTTATTTTTTACTTTAACAGATGGACTATATATACAACATCTGCTTAATTGCAAGTGGCAACTTTGATGTTGAATCGCGCCGACGAGCAAATTTTGGCATGTTTTGAGAGGTTGTCGCCATTAGAGATGTTAATCTAATTGCGGCGCGATCGGGCTATTAGTGCGCTAAAATAAACAAAAAAACGTCTCACCGCCATTGTGCTGCAGGCGCGGAACTTATTATTTCACTTTTGATGTAGAAGTGCGATTAAAACTATAATGGTTTATGATAATTATTTTGGTTAAAAAATGAACCGCAAATTTAATTTGAAAGTTACACCGCTGGCTTCATATGCAGGATCTTTTATTTGTATAATATATACGAGGAAAATTGTGCCAAATTGTGCAGTTTTATGTCCAATTAAAGTATCATTATATGTGCAAAACTTCCTTTTATATCTATAATTGAGCTTCTGTTCAAATATAAAAGATGTATAATATGTGTTTGTTCATATGTGAAAGAAGCTTATTTTATAAATCTTATCTTTTCAGGCATAATTTTGCGAGTTGGTATTTTGTTTTTAGCAGCGTTTTTTTATAATATTGAGAGCCTTTATTGGTCTAAAAGAGTTTTTTTTCTAAAAAAAAAAACAAAGAATTTTTTAAATAGATTAATTTTTTAATTTTTAAAAACAACTAAAAAACATCAATTAATAATAAAAGATGAGTACATTAAAGTTTTTTCGTAATTTTAAGAAATTATATCATTTTTAAGATTTTTAATAATTAGGAATATTTTTTGTTTTTTGCGAAAAATGACAAAATGATAAATTCTAATTGTTAATTTGTTGTTGATTTAAAAACTGATAAAAAAATGTTGAAGTTTTAATTGAATAGTGAAATAAATGAATTTAATTATTTTGGTGCTCATTTTGCACAAAATTATGAAGATAAAAATATCAAATTTGTAAGAATGGCGCTCATCTTCCCTTCTTCAATTAAGTTTGAAGATCATTTTTCTTTCTCGTTCATCAGCGCAACACAAACAATAGGATCATCAAACTTGAGAGCAAAAACCCTCGGCACAAAAACTCATCTCAGGGGTTGATTAACGAGAGCGCGCAGAGGCTGGAGCGCGCAGGAAAAGGCTTCCTCAGTCACGCAGCACTAATTTCAGCCGCATTAGGGCGCTGATTTCGAGTAATCGCCCGCCTAATGGGCCCTGCCGGTCTGGCCCGTCGCGCCTCGCGAGCGCCAATCTCCGAGGGAGCCGAGACTCCATCACGCTCGGCGCGGCCGCCGACTGGCCGTCGCAGTCCCGAGTGGAGGGGCGGCCCCACCCCCGGCCCGCCTCCCGGGGGGCGCCGCCTCCCGCCGACTCCGCTGCCGTCAGCCTCCTCGGCCAGGTCCAGTAGTGCGCCTGTGGTTGCCAAATGGCCCGTTTGTCCTGCAGCTGAGCGGCCCGCAACTGGTGATGACCATGATGCCGCTAGCACCGACGCCCATCGTCGCCGTTCCTTCCAAGCCCAAGATCGGCTTCAGCATCGACTCGATCGTCGGCGGCCACGGCCTCAGCAGGGCCTCACCCAACAGCACCAGCAGCGAGCCGCCCCCGAGTCCGTCGTCGTCCGACCGGCCCCGCAACTCGCCCAGTCCGGCCGCCGGCCATCAGCGGCCACGATCGCCAGGATCCCCGCCCGCCCCTCTGGTCCGTCCGGCCGCCTCCAGAGACTCGGCCGCGGCCGCCGCCCTGTTCGCTGCGGCCGCCGGATACTCGCCGGACTCGCTCAAGGCCTTCTACCACAATGGCGCCTCCGAGCAACCGGCCCTCGCGGCCCACCTCCAGGCCGGACTGGCCGCCGCGATGGCCCAGCATCAGGCGGCCGTGGCTGCTGCGGCTGGCGGCCCCCAGGGGCCCCCGCACCCGCAGCACCAACATCATCCCGGAGCGCAACACCACCCCCATGGACCGCCGCCGCCAGTGTTCCTGCCGCAGCACCACCAAATGCCCAGAGACTCTTACCCTTTGTACCCGTGGCTCCTCTCCAGACACGGCAGAATTTTCCCGCACAGGTTCCCTGCTGGTAAGTACAATATTTAATTTTGATTATTAAAAAAGAATTAATTGAATAATCCTACCTTAATGGTCATAATGCTAAATTTTATAAAAAAAGTCACAGTAATCATTCATTAATTTTTTTATATATATAATTAAAAAACCTTTATTCAATTTCTTTATGAATTTATAAATTTTTAATTCAGAACAAATTAATAATAAAAACCTATATCAACTTCCTTTAAAACTCAAATAAGGTTTAAATCATTTAATTATATATAGTTTTGCTTTTGATTTGATAAATTAATTTTTAAACAGAGCAAAATAAATAAGTTTTCCTGGAATTTAATTTAATTAATATATCAGCTCTTTAATTAAATAATTTCACAGGTTTTACCGTAATGATTTTTAAGCCGAACATAATTTTATGTTTAATTTTAATTTAAGGCTTTTGTTAAAAATTAAGCATGAGAACGAAGCCGCAAATTCGTTTTCAACTGTCTCTCACCAAAGGCTAATTTTAAGAGTGCGGTGCACTTTTTTCTCATTCTTTTCATATCTCTCTTCTTCTCCTTATTGTTGTGTGTACAAATATTTATTCATTTGACGCCGCGACGAATTCCGCGAGCAAATTCGAGCGTGAAAATTGAAAAATCACCACGCACTATGCACAAAGAGTAACGGCCACACACAAAAAGAAGCTCTTGGCCCGTGAAAGGTGCGCTGAAAGGCAGGCAAAAATAACATTTACAAGAGGAGCCGAACAAAAAGCGGCTCAAAAAGGGAAAAGCCTCCCTGAGGACCACAGTGAGATTGATTTTGGGCGCAGCGTGAAACTTGTTTGGCCCTCTCTCAATTTTTCACCGCGCGCACTTTCTTCTTCCGCCCGCACAAGTTTATTGTTGAAATGCAAATTCGGCGGCGATTTCAATGAGCGTGTTTCAAATTAAGTCTCGAGGGAAAATATTTTGGCTCCAATAAAGTGGAAAAATTCCTTGCAACGGTATTCCGACAATTGAAAACCGTTTTGCTTAGCATAAATTTCATTTGATTTTGCCGACGTTTGACAATTGCACCGAAATTACACAGCACATTTTAGAATCTTCTTTCAAATTAGTTCTTTTTACATGACCCTTTTAAGTTTTGAATCGTTAATTTTATCGGGTCGAATGTCAACCAAGATCCAAAGTTTTATTTCCCTTTTCCATTAGCATTATCGGTTTGAACCCCAATGATACTGAAAGTTTATTCTCCCCAAAATATAATAAATAATTCACAAGAGATCGTTTCAAAACTTTTGATAAGGAAAAAATTGGACCGAAAAAACCAGCAGCACGCCTTACTTTTAGTAGCGGCTCAAATGCTGGGGTTCACGCGCGGGTCAAGAAGTTATCGGCGCAAATGTGAGCTCATTAGGCCACCAGAAAGCAACACAAATGGAAATAATTATTAAAAGCCGCGCGTATAAAAAGCCTGACGAGAAAAATACCGCACGCTAGGAAAAAATCTTTTAATTGCCAGTCGATTTCCTGCCTGATAAAAAAATGAATGAATGTGAAAGAAATATTTTTGGTTTGATATAAAAAAAATATATATTTTTATTTATTTGAAAGTTTGCCTCATCAAAACTGTCCCATTAGCAATTACAAATAGCTATGAAAATATTCACGTCTCACGCTGCGTTTGTTTTCTTCTCTTAATTAAATTTTCCACGTGAACATTAACAAAGCAATAAAAAGACGAGAGTCGTTAATTAGACACAAAGAGCGTTGCTTTAATTCAGTGATAATAAAAAACACAACTGCTCTTCGAATCGAATTAATATATAAAATAGTCTCTCCTCACCAAAACAGTTTAATTTAATCACCGTCCTAAAATCGTGCTAATGGAAAGACAACTTTTTCGGTGTTTTGTTCCAATTAAGTCGAGAGAGGAAGTGTCTGTGGACGACGAATTAAGTTGAAACAAACTGGCGGACAGTTTTATTGTTTTGTATTAATTTATCTGGTTGTTATAGTTGACCGAGCGACAGCTGCGGTGAGCAACAGGAATTTTCCAATTACATGTTCCCTCTTAAATCAATAAAAAAATGCTGCCGGAAATGTTAAAAATCCCAACTTGAAAAAGGTGAAAATTTTATTCAACGAAAAACCAATTTAATTTTTTTAACTTTAAAAATTTTATTAAAAATTTAGCTCTGGTGAAAATAATTTGCCCGAAAGAATAATCAAAGATCTATTTCTTTATCATATCTCCTTGGGCGAAAGGAGAGGATAAAAGTTATTTAAAAAGATATTAGAAATTTCAAAGAAATAGATGATTTGGTCCGATAGTTCCTAATTGGTCATAATTTGATGCCATAAAATTATAAATATGTTTATCTGCATAAATTTATAATACATAATCGGTTTTGCTTTGGGTGCTGCCGCTTGTGATAAAAAAGGTCTTCAATATGCTAGGCAAATTTTCACATTTCTTTTCTAGAGATATGATTTTACGATGGCAAATTAACCGTTTAAATTTTGGCCTCCAGGAAAAGGTATCAATGAATGCTTCTTATGTATATATAATAAAATTGATGGAAATAGGCATTTGGGAGCAGTTTGATGATAATTATACCGACCAGGGCTCGATTTTTATTCCTTAATGGCCCATAATGATATCACACGCACACCAAGTTATAACTGGACCTTTCGTAGTTTAAATCCATCTTTTAGCATCAATTATTGAGATAAAAAATCAAATTATGCAGATTATTTTGTAATTATGCTTAATTGTTGATTTAGCTTAAGAACTAAAACTTGAGGGCAAGTCAATGAAATATATAGAATTCGTAATCAATTCCAGAAGTTACAGTTTTTATAGGAAATTAATCTCATTAATTATTCAAATGTTACTTTGTAACACCCAACGGCCTTAACAAACAGGAAATAGAAAAACCTGGCATAATTGACAAATCGGAATTAATTAAAAGATTAATTACTATTTAGTCAATAATATAGATTTACTAGAATTACTAAATTATGCGATAGTTTATATTCATATTCATAATAATAATATTACAAATATTTAATTTCACTATTTCTAGGATTATTGAGGTTTTTTATTTCAATATTTCTAGTTGAGAAATTTTTTTTTTTTTTTTACTCCAAATTGTACTACATTTAAAAGCAAACTGAAAATATATAAATCATGTATAAATAATGAACAATAATTATTTAAATTAAATAAAAAGATGATAAAAATGTAAAAACTACATCACATGAATTGTTTTCTCATGGCATCCTTCATAATTTTGTAATAATTTATAATCTTGATCATAAATTTAATTAAATTTAAAGCATTTAATTATTTAAATCTGAAGCATATTTATATTTAAGTTTTTTTAAATAAATATTTTATAGCTGTTATAAGTGCACATCTAAATTCACTTTTCTTTAGTAAATCATGCATGATTATTTACCCGACTTGATTGTGTAGCCCAAACTCACGCTGCCGAGTGCCAATCATTAGTAATTGACGCATATCAATGAGTAATTATGCAAATGCAGGGTCCATAATTATCCGTGGCGGGGCAAATTGCTGTGAGTGTGTGTGGGAAAAACGGTCGCGCAGAAGCGCCGACGGCCATCCGAAAGCAGCAGAGAATTTATATGCTGCCGTATAATATAATAATCGCGCTCGCAAATTATAATTTACACATTACAAGAAGTACGCAGTCGGAATGTTTTTGAATGAGAGGCACTTAACGATCTCTCTGCTCTTGTGTGCGCGGCGGAATAATTCCTGGAAATATTATAAGATCATTAAGGCTGCAGCAGCTCTCTTGTGAGCGAGAGTAACGAGAGAGTCATTACCGCCATTACATCATTAGGCACCGCGCATGGATGGCATTATTTTTTTACGATATTATAATTATTGTGTTCGTTTTGTTGCGCTAATTAAATTGCCATTAGCGCGTTAATTAACGGGTTGCTTTTTGCCCGGGCTTGGAAAAAAATATATTAAAATACCACGAATTTTGCGTTTCAGCGTGCGTAATTAATGGCTCGCGGGGCAAAGGTGTAGTTTTATAGTTGATCTCTGCGATTTATCTCAATATTATGATGATGTTTAGTCCTAGAAATGTGTGAATGTTCCAAACTGAGAAACTTAAAAACAAAATTAAATATTATTTACAGTGTAATTTTAAAAAAGAAAATATATTATAAAAAATTTTACCTTACAAATATATAATAATAAATTCAATATCAAGCCTTTTATTATACATTTTATGTGAGTTTAGTTTTTAAAATTTACAAATATTGCAAAAGAATACAGAAATTTAAGCTGTTTGCAAAAATTTGGCTAATTTTTATTCAAGAAAAAAATTTAAAATATATAATAAAAAATAAAGTTACTTTCTACAAGGTTTTATTGCAATGTACAAAAATATAAATTTACTTTTGAAAGTCAATTTGGATACTTTTGTATAATTAAATTAAGCATGAATGATTAAAAAAAAGGGGGGAATAGAAATATAAGATGAAAGGGATTTAAAAAATATCAATTGTAAGTGATTTTTAAATTTTTATTGTCAATATATGTATTTGATGAACCAATTATAAATTTTTATAGCATCATCTCCATTCCATACATTCAGATTTACATTGCAGAGTAATTTCAATTTTTTCTCCTAAAAATGGTTTCCCTGCGTGATTTTGAATAAAAGCGAGATTATGAATTTTTATTGTACCCCAGAAAATTTAAACTGAAACGTTCTTCAAATAATGCGCGTGACATTAGCTAATTTTGCGACATTAGAAGTAGGAAAGAGGAAGCAATAAAATAAACAATTACCTGCTCTATACATAGGTATAACCATCTTAATGACAATCTCAGTACATAACGTGTGTGCGCCGGGCACGCAAGTGTAAAAATGTGTATGAATTAATGTTGCACCTTCACGACACAAATTACGCCGTCTCTCACATCTGAATTAGGTGAGTGTTGTGACAAAGTCGCCAAATTTTTCGCCGTAATGACTCT